AAAAGTTCAGACAGGTATTGAGGTGCCAAGCCATGTAAAGCCTTATAGGTGAGCATGAGGATTTACAAACGTTTCAAAGCTTTCTTTCATTTTTAAAATGTTTTTGATTGACCTTTTTCAACCTTTTGTTCATTTGGTGGGTGGAGAAGCATTTTATAAAATACTAGCCACAATCCTATTTCATGTTACACGGGGAGGGAACTTAGGAACAATATTCTAAGTGAAGAGCATCTAACTTATTTGCATTTTCAAATAGACTAGTTTGCAAATATTTAAAGCCTGTTGCCTTCAGTGTTGCAAATTCAATTGAAGGTTGTGTAAAAATGTCCTATTGTTTTCACATTCTTTGTGATGTTCTCCATAATTTTGTCTTTTTCTGACACTTTCAAGTTGGATTTTGTTAGATTTGCATGTTGTTGTTGTATTTTAGTGAGATCTGTGCCTTTTGTTTCAGATTTGCTTTGTTTTCCACCAAAACCCCTCAAAATATTCTTCTAATACTCAATTTTAAAATTGCAACTTCTGTGAATTTACAACCTCTTTTGTGCTTTTCATCCTATTGTAGTGTATGAGCTTATTGGTTGTCATAACTGTTTATTGTATACAGCATATTGTGAGTGTCATTACATTCAATGGTATTATTTTCACATTTCTTCAAGGAAAAAAATCTATTTGCAACTAGTTAAACTTTCTCTTTGTCACAATTTCATATCCTCCGTTTTGATTATATTTTTCTTTTTCAGTTTCTTTTTGGAGAAGAATATGTTTGCCTTCTTTCTGAATATCCTCCGACAGAAGTCTGGCCGTTATGTGTGTGTTCAGCTCCTTCAGACACTGAATATACTTTTTGAAAATATAAGCCACGAGACGTCTCTTTGTAAGTATGGCTTAAAAATAAATCTTCCCTGATATGGCGGAGTAAAAAAAGCTTCCATAAATGGGAAATTCTCAACTATCTATTGTCAGCAGTGTTTAAACATTTTAGACTCTTTCTTGTGAATGCATGATGTAACTTTTGGTGTGTATGCTTTTTGTATATTTTTCTGTTTAGATTACCTCTTGTCCAACAACCATGTCAACTCCATTATTGTCCATAAGTTTGATTTTTCTGATGAGGAGATTATGGCTTATTATATCTCCTTCTTGAAGACCCTGTCCCTGAAACTCAATAACCACACCGTGCACTTCTTCTATAATGAGGTAAGAGGCCAAGCAGGGTAACTGCAATGAAACACCATCACTGGGAGAGACTGAAAATGCAAGGAGGGAAAAAAAGCTCATTCTAAAGTTAAGTAATGCTAACTTAGTAATAAGATGTAATGAAATCAGTAATTTCAGTAATGAAAATATTTGTAGTTTATGTCCTGTTTAGGATTCCAGTTTGTGGGGCTTTACTAAACTAAAGTTTTGGCTGAGGATAAAATCTAAATTGGAGTGGAAGTGGATACAGTTTATGCCACTGATATTCAAACACAAGGCTATTAGAACTGTTGAACTGCCGACGGGGGGGATACTGGTTACTTGTTCCTGTACTGTAAAGACATCAGATTAAGACATTAAGAAAACACTTAAGCTGGTAATATTCACGTGAAAACGTTTATTGTTGGTGGTGAATCGTGTTATAATGCACACAAAGCAGGGAGAGCATTTGGCTGACTTTTTGCATTCATGCGTTGTCACCTTGACCTTTTTTTTTTGTGCATGTAGACTCTACAGGTTTTCCTGTGCTGAGTTGAGCTGGCCAAGGCTTTCTGCACAGGACAGTGTTGCCATAACTGAAGTGTTTGTTTTTGCTCCTTGGCTGTCTGACTAACTGAGCTGCTGCCGGTGCCTGTGTATCGGGTGAAGTTATTGGTGTACTGTAAATGGCTGCACTTAGATATTGGTCTTTATCCTGTGGCACCACCGGCAGCTGCTAGTGATGCTGGGAATAAAGAGAAACTGGATGCAAGTTTTACTCGAAAAGAGATGTGTGCTGCAGGCTGCGGACTCCTTTTGAAGTGCTCAAAGAGGGAACCTGCTTGTTCTATTACCGTACCTAACAGCGGTTTTCCAGTTTCTGGAAGGGCAGAACCCTTCATGCATGGTCCTATTTGCTTCGCCTTTTGGGTGCAACCAGCATTTCCTTAATGTCAGGTGAACCTATAAGTGTGAGAATTGTACGTCTTTCCAGCTGTAGAGTTGCTGTAAAATTCTGAATTGCTTTGCATGCCCAATAAGACTCATTTTCCTTGTAATCTTTCTGATGATTGAAGCTGGATTATATCGTATGCACAGTGATGTAATATTAATACTGTTTAACCTCATGCTCAATTCATTGTGGTGATGCATTGCTGAAGTGTTAGGAGCTATACTGTGCCTTAGCTGAAGGAGAAGTGTTTGTGGTTTCAGTTGCAGTACCATTAAAAGCTGCCTAGATGGCGCCTTGCACAAAGGAACTTTCATTTTACAAGCTTTGACACAATTCCCCGCGATATACAGTAATGTTTCGGTGCAGCTTTGCATGTAAGGGAGCCGCCGCATGCAGTTAATAAAATCACAGGAGGTCTACATGTGCATTAATAAGTCCAAAACGCTTCCAAAATGGAAAAACTTCAAGGGTACAATTTAGTCTGAGGGTGGAGGGGTTTTAAAGTTGTAATAGTAAGAGTTTTTTTTTTGTAGTGGGAATGTTGAGGACAGCAAATCTAGCCTGCGGCACATTTCTTTCTGAGTTTCTCTTGCTGTCCAGTGTGTGCTTGTTTATCCCCAGTCTCTGTCTCCCATACTTCCAGCACACTAATGATTTTGCCCTGTACACGGAGGCCATTAAATTTTTCAACCACCCAGAGAGCATGGTGAGAATTGCTGTCAGGACAATCACCCTTAACGTTTACAAAGGTGAGTCCAGGACCCTCAAATGCTACTTTTTGAATGCCCTCCACCTGCTGCTGCTTTCTCCTCCTCCTCTCCTTCCTTGCTCTTCTTTTTGAAGCTCTCAAACTGGTGTGTGAGCCCTTGTGCCTCAGTGATAAAGAGGTAATCCATTCTCATTTTACAGGGTTTCACTCGGTTTTTTTTAATATTTCCCGAGGGGGGGTAAAGTGATGAAAAAAAACGACTTGGCTGAATTGGGATGCCCAGGATAGCAGTCCACCCCATTGCCTGTCGAGGGAAGGGAGCGATATCTAATGTTTTATTGTCGGTTTACCATTTTCTAGAAAAACACCTGTGTTGTTTAATCAACTTCATGATGTGGTAAAAAAAGAACAAGTAATGCATGTTGTGTGAGTTACAGTGTAACACTGTCAGTACACAACTAACATAATTCTATTGACTAACATGATACCATTTCATGCAAACATTCACAAGCAGATTTGTTCTCTATCACATAGTTATTGAGTAAGACAGGAAGGTATTAGGGTCAGCTCTTCTGGTTTAAGTCATTTTCACAGGCAAATAATAGTGCGTTATTTGACTTTAGATACTGAGCAGAATATAAATAGATAAGTGCATCTTTTTAGCCTAGCTTAGCCTTAATTGAAAAAAAAATTACAGAGACTGTGTCAGTGATGTCTTGTACTTTAAATGCCAGAATACTCAAAGATTTCATTCATAAAATGCCAGAAAATGTTTTTAAAAATTGGGTGACAGTACGTTCTGTTGTTACACTGTACCTGTTTTCCATGTCATTACTAATCATAACAATGAAAATGTGAGAGTGGTATTCAGCACTGGGATGTGTCCCTTTTTTGACTCTTGTATAAACCTTTGTTGTGTTTTATGTGCCTTTATCTTATTTCACAAAATGTCATTTACCAAAGCTAGACATATTCCAATATTCTATTCTGGACAGTTGAGCTGTGATCTGTAATAGTTACAATTTATATATATAATGTAATGAGATATGTCTCTAGGCAGAAGTGCTGATTAGTTTCATAGTAGCTAAGCATATGCAATCTTCCAGCAGTCTCAGTCTTTTCATTCTGTCAATGATTTGGGGTTTTAAAAATTCATCTTAAATAGCAGAACCTTAGTTGTTTTTTTTTAGTATGGGCCTTACATTTTTAAATGTGGTAAAGATCTTGTTTTCGAAAGTGGCCCACCCCCAAAACACAGCTTTAATCAAAGTGTGATACAGTGTCAACGTGAGGACCTGCTGGTATCATGCACATTTGCATACTTAATCAATGAAGTGCATTGGGAAAATTGAGAAATTTCATGTGTCCAGTGTGAGCTGGAGGGGCGTATAAGTAACGGAGTGAAATACATCCGGAACAGTGCAGGTTGTCATTAACCCTGAAGACGCTTCGTCCTTTAATGTGTGTTGGCTGATTTCTTGTTCCAGCTGCCTCTGGCTCTTTTCTCTCTGCCCTTAGTAAGGATAGCACCCCAATAGGAAGATGCTTCAGTGGCTCAGTCCCTAATCCTATTAACTCAGTATCTGTTCTTGTTCCTCTCTCAACGGTGATTCCCGTGTGCCTTAATCCAGTGTCATGTAAGTTGGCCAAACTTGGAACTCTTCGACATTTTTTGTTGTTTTCTGTGCTGCATGCCTTTTTTTGTTGATGCAGTATTTAATATGTCAAATCAGATACCGTTTAGAGCACGACAAGCATAAGAAATGCCATTTTCTTCAGAGCCGAGTAAGTTCGGCACAATATGGGCCAAAGCCTTCGGTACTTCTAAAGATCAAAAAGTCTTTCTGTTCTCTTTGAGCAGTGTTAGATATTTTTGAAGCACCTGTATATCTGGTGCTTGATATTAGAGATCCCTTGGTGTGGAGAGGAACTGTAAATCCTAGACACACGAAGGTTCCCCTTCTGGTTGTATATGAGCTCTTACGGAGCTAAGTCTCTGCCTGCCACTGGATACACTGATCCTGTTTCCAGCCTGCCAGCGTCCGCTTTGTAGTTTGATGTGTCCAGCCTCATGTTTATATCTCGTCATTTTCGTGCAACCCAGCATGAGGTTTAGTGATTGCAGAATAGAACGTCCCCTAAATTCCTGAAAAACACCCGTAGATTTAGCTAGTGTCATTACCGAGTCCTTGTGGCAAACTCGAGCAGATTTTTAGTTTTCTTAATCAAGCCCTAAATCTCTGTTTGCTGCAATCTGTGCTCGTTGTGGACTGGTTAAAGACGCTGTGTGTAACTGGATTATTGTTCCTCTGCCCAGTGGATAATCAGCACATGCTTCACTACATCCGAGACAAGACCGCGGTCCCCTACTTCTCCAACCTGGTGTGGTTCATTGGCAGCCATGTGATCGAGCTGGACAAGTGTGTGCAGACCGATGAAGAGTAAGAAAATAAACCTAGATGGGCCCAGTGGCTTCCTTTCATTTATAACCTTTGTCCTCTTCATATAATCTCTCAAAACTCCAGATTGTACTGTTGGACTGATAAGAACAGCATAAGTGCAGTTTTGGGTGTCACCTCTAGCCAGCAGCCATATCACCCTGCAACTCACAACTGGCAACTCACTGACGCTAAGCAGGTGTGAGCCTGGTCAGTACCTGGCTGGGAGACCTCCTGGGAAAAACTAAGGTTGTTGCTGGAAGAGGCGTTAATGGGGCCAGTTAGTGATCTGTGTGGGTCCTAATGTCCCCAGTGTAGTGACGGGGATACTGTACTGTAAACAGGCGCCGTCCTTCAGATGAGACATAAAACCGAGGTCCTGACTCTCTGTGGTCATTAAAAATCCCAGGGCGTTTCTCGAAAAGAGTAGGGGTGTACCTCGGCATCCTGGCCAAATTTCCCATCGGCCTTTATCAATCATGGCCTCCTAATAATCCCCATCTATGAACTGGCATCATCACTCTGCTCTGTGGTTAGCGTTCTGGCGCGCTATGGCTGCCGCCGCATCATCCAGGTGGGGCTGCACATTGGTGGTGGTGGAGGGGAGTCCCCATTACCTGTAAAGCACTTTGAGTGGAGTGTCCAGAAAAGCGCTATACAAGTGTAAGCAATTATTATTATTAATTATCTCTTTTTGTTGCTACTAAAGGCAATATTTGCTCATATATCTCTTTAGAGTGGGAACCGAGGATTTTCATGATGCCCACTAGATGTCAGTGTTACCACTGAAATGATTTCTGTTCCCTTTTCAAATTTGGGCAATGGATTGATATGTTATAAAAGAATACTTTGAAAGCAAAGCGTAATACTTTGTTCTTAATGGGTGATTTATTTATCAGTGAAGATGCAGGGCAAGAAACTGAATGGGGAAGGTGATTTTGTTAGCCTTATTTTATTGGTTAGTTGTTCAGTCTGCCAGAAATGCACAGGGAATTTTTGAGTTTTGTTTCACTGCAGTGTGTTTTAAAGACCTGTGTCTATAGGCCAAATCTGAAGAGCAGGCTGGCAGCTGCTGAAGCATTGTGATTATGTCTATCCTTCAGTACATGTGCAGATTTATATTCCTGAATGTATGTTTGCTTATATATGTAATTTATATTGCAAATTGCCTGTTTGCTGGACAGTTCCAAATGACTATTTTTGTCCTCAGGCACAGGAATAGAGGAAAGCTCAGTGACCTTGTAGCGGAGCACCTGGACCACCTACACTATCTTAATGACATCTTGATCATAAACTGCGAGTTCCTGAACGACGTGTTGACAGACCACCTGCTCAACAGACTTTTCCTGCCTCTGTACGTCTACTCGCTGGTTAATCACGAGCAGGTAGGCGACATGGTCTCTTTGCGTGCAAGGCACTTTGATCTTGTTTGATGTGTTTCATTTACGAGAAAAGTTGGGTATACTGCCTGTGTTCCACAGTCTCTGGGTAGCAGAGACGTGACAGAAATGTAATATTATTGTGTGATCATCTCATGGTGTCTAGGCCAAGCCTCTCCCATTGGTATCCAGACACGCCCCCTGTCCTTTTCTTCATCTCTCAACAAAACAGCTCTCACAGGTGAATGCTGGCATTATTTCACACTTGCTTTGTTGGTTTCATTGTTTGGTGCTATGTTCTTCTCCCAACACATCAATTACTTGTAGCTGCTTTTATATATTATTTTTAAAACTTTATACCCCAGGACCTTTCTGAACGTCTAGTCTTTAGTCTTATTTAATACAGTGCAGTAATTCGGTATTCAGAAAGATTTCAGTGTGTGCAGAGGTGCAGAAATAAAATTGCAATACGTGTTGCAAATATGACCCGTTTGCGTTTATTGACTTACATCACATTTAAGATTTGATGTTGATATTAAATTGAATGTACACCACAGCTCATGATATTCGCTTTTCTATATATAACGGGAGTCGTCTGTCAATAGCTGAAAAACCAGAATTTTTTATTGCAATCAATTTACTCTTGATTTATTCGTTTCAGAATTCTGGGGGGTTAAAATTATTTTGTGAATCTCATGGACACAAATATGCCAGTCACTTTTGTGTTGCCAAATTGTTTTACAGGCTTTCCTTGGAATCCTTGTTAAGTCTGTTGATTCGTTATTTAGATTATTTTAAAAATACCGGGGTATAAATTGTTTTAAAATATCTTCAATAGTTTGTCAATGTTGTTCTTTTAGTAGTGTTGGGATCGACCACTCAATTTTTTAACTTTGAACCAGTAATGTAAGAAAGTATAGATCTCATTAAGGGTCTTTATGTACAATACTAGGCATTTGAAGTTCAGTTGCACATATTTCCTTTTATTGTATTGAAAGCGTACTGTCTTCAGTGGTGCATGCTTTGCCAGTATTTGTATGTGGCTACAGATGTTTCTGATTTTGTTCAGCTTTCCACCAGCATGAAAATATTTTTTTTTTTAGACAGGTACTTTTATGAACCACAGCATATGGCAACTTGGCAATTGCAATGCAAAAAAGCAGCTGTTAAGACCTTGTAGTGCAGCATAAGTGGGTTTCTGTTTGAGCCGGGGAGGCATCCCAAACTTTATTCCTGGTGTTAAGCTTGGTCATTACAGTCCACTGTGCTGTCAGTGTTTTTGCGCTAAAGCTTAGCTCGCACGACGTGTAGTGAGGAAGAAGGAAAAAAAGACGTGTAAAATGACTTCAGTTCATCTTGTCTTTCAGTCAGAAGATCGAAAGATAAGCCCCCAGGTGTCTCTTTACCTCCTGTCACAGGTACTTTGAAATTTTCATTATTCTTGTTCGTGAAAGTCAGTGTCTTTATAGATCTACCCACAATTATGTTTACCTGTCTGAAATGTAATTAAGTGAAAACCCTATATTTACTCCTTTCATGCCCGTGCAGTTCTCAGCTTTAATATAAATAAGCCTCTGTTCATAGCTGTTATACAACTGGAACTAGTGCATAGCCATGGGAATGCCTGTGTTTTAAGTACACTTAAATTATGGGCCTAGCTAAATTGGTCCAGTTCTCATGATGCCCATAATATAATCTAAATATAGTATTAAAGTAACATGACTAACTTTATTATTTTATATTCTCTCTATATTTTTGTAAATATGGATAGACACAAGAAAATGCTACTTATTTGTCTTGTAGGTGTTTCTTATAATACACTACCAACCATTGGTCAGTTCCTTGGCTGATGTCATTCTGAACGGTGATCTGTCAGTGTTCTCGGTCCAAGCAGAGCAAGCTGCGCAAAAGAGCTGTGTGAGTAACTGGATCCCCACAATTCTCTCTTCTCTAATAAAGCTTTCCAAATTAAATGAGCTTTTCCTAATGGCTGAAGGTATTTTTCCGAATGCAACTCAGTTGACGTAAAATGTGTGGGTTCAAATTAGCTACTGACTGGTCAGCAAGTTACTGCTGTTTAAATGCAAGCAGTCATGTTCTGTGGATTATATGTGATTTGTGTTCAAGGATGTCAATTTGTTGTACTTTGTAACATTATTTTGATGATGCAAATGCAATTCAAAATGAAAAAACGTAATCTCATTATTTCAGGTGGGTAGCTGCGTCAGCATGCGTAGGCTGCAAAGGAACAAGTAATAGGTTTATTCCGTGCTGGGAAAAAAAAAAAGAAAGAAAATACGTTTTCAACGTTTGAGCTCACACCTGAAGAAGGCTCCACGGCCGAAATGTTGTTTTCTTTCTTCTTTTTTCAGCATGGAATAAACCTATTAGTTAATCTTATTATTGTTTGACCCGCTATATATGGAGTCAACTATGAGTTTAATTCAATCTCAATTATTAGGCAGTGGAGTATACAGTATACGCTTATATACAAAGTATTGGAAACGGTAGTGACCAGAAATAAACGAAACAATAAACAAATAACTGTATTTTGTGTTCGATTCTAGTTATCTTTCAATTGTACAACTCAAAAATAAATTGGGAGATAATGCACTTTAATTATACTTAATTCTGCACTATCAGAAGGCAGCTGTTAACAGCATTGAAATCAAATCTTTTCTACTATATGCTTACCATTGATTTTTTTTTTTACGGACCCTTTTTGCGAATATTTCTTTAGATAGCTTGCAATGGGTTTTCCAGACATCTTCATGACAGCAATGACACAAATGTATTTTGATTGCTTCTATGTCTGCAAATTACATATTCAAATGGAGATCAAGAACAGCTTATCGAATTCAGAGTCACGATGGCCCGGAGCATTTCCTGGGAAACAATGGGTGCAAGGCCGGATACTCCCGGGACAGGATGCCAGTTCATCGCAGGACATGCACAGACGTGCACACAATCACACCAGGGCAAATTTGATTAAGAATTTGATGTATGAACATAGACAGGCTTCTGTAAAATGATTATTAGAGATCATTTTGCATGCATGAGTTCTCCACAAGATGTGGACAGACAGATCAACACTAGAACAAAGCCCCCCTTTAGTACATAACTAGAGAATCATCTGAAACAGTTTTAGAAAAGAGTTCAGGCCAACCTAACTATATTAACTTACTGTTTTTTTTCTCCTTTTCATTAGCTTAAATGGATTCATAGGAAAAGTTTTAGTTCATATTGACAGATTAATGTTTGTTAGTAAAATATTTTAAAGCATTTTCGTTATTATTGTTTTTAGTAGTAGTTATTTTTCTTGAGAGAATGAATCACTATTGAAATGTTAAATTAATTAATTCAAAATACTTAAGTGGTTTCAAGCGCTTTGTGAAGCTCCTTTTGCTTGTAGCATTGCAGAAATCAGACTGGATTCTAAATTGAGTTTTATAGGGGAAAATATCCCTCATCATTAGTCTGTATTTCCCCTAAGAAGGCTAGGTGTCACTAAAGACTAAAGTGTAAAGTTTGGAAATGTGTGAGTGCTGTGGGTTTATAGGAGGGAGCCTGGCTCGGTGATACTCAAGTGTGACGATTTACTAACGAGAAAGTTCTCTCTCTCCTTCATTGTGCATATAGGCTACAGGTCACTGCTAGCCCTCTTGTTGTTCTGTCAGTACTGTGTTAAGCAACAGAACCAACAGGCTGCACAAGAGACCTGTTCTTAAGGGCTGTCAGATTTTGAATGACTTCCCTGAACTTTTATTTTAGTCTTTTTTTCATCTTTTTTTCTACAAATTCAGACAAAGGCACTTTATTTACCTTAGAATGTTTTTTTTTTGACCAATAAGACGTCTAAAAGAGTTCGAAATGTATTTATTTAAATCACTTTAATTTTTCAAGCTGTGTGTTTTCTGACATTTTCACTGGTGATGTGAGCAGTTGCGTTTAGACAAATACTTCTTTGAAGTGACAATCAGCCCAGACAGTGTGAAGGACTCAGTACAGTATGTGGGAGTTTGTGAAAGCTGTGGGTTGGTTGTTATAGACATGTTTCTTTGTTTTTCTTGTTTTTTTTTTCAGCAGGCAGTTGATTTTTATTTTGTTAGACCTATTCCCTAAATTACTTTAAATCCGAATTAACACAAACTTTAAAACATGGATTTGAGATTGAAATGGGACACTAAACTTTACTGCCCCCTACTGGAATGTACAATTATTTTGCAGGTGAAAATAACAGCTTTCCTGCCTTTTCACTTTTTCAGTGTCATCATAACCTCTCTCACCAGATTTCCAGTAAGAAAGTTGCGAAAGATTTGTTCTGTGATAGAAGAACTTCTTCACGTTATTTTTGAGACTTTGAGAACTTGTCTTAGATTGCAGGAGTCATGTTTATTAGTGACCACACATGTATGAAATTGACTCTTCTCCTTGGGCAGATGTATCTCTAACAAGGATGTCACTGGGTTCTTGTATGTTTTCAGTGATTTATCACTGCAACATGTTATTCTAAAGTATACAGATATGCTCTTCTGCGTGGTGCATTGATTTGACCAACATGGTATCTGTGTTCTCTTTGTTTGAACGCAAGATGAAGGTGTTTGTAGTCAGGGTTGCTAATTAAAGTAGAAGCACGTGGCAATGTGTTTCTGAGAAACTGTATCCCCTCTGCTTATTGTAAATGCCGAGCTCAGCTGTGTATGGTATGGCGTGAAACAGGCTTTCTTCCTTTTTCTATTGCAGCTGCTCCTACAGAAGTTCTGCTTCTTAGTCCAATTATATGTAGTTTGATTCTAGGTATAGGTTCGTTTCCTTTTTTTCATTTCCTTTTGATCGGTACTTCAGTTGAATCCTTTTTGTTTGCTTTTTTTCTGTCTTCTTCAGTGAAACACCAGTACTCGGTAGGGGTGGGGAAATATGTAGTTAGTGGATAACTATGATAACTATTGTTAAGAGGTTCAGTACCGCAGACATCTCAACTTGTGATGCTTCATAAGCAACAGTGTCCAAGATGATGTCATTGGGAACTCTTAAGGAGAGGACATCAGCAGCACAAGGCAACAGTGGCTGGAACTGCAAAAAGGATAATGATATCCGTGTTTATTTCAAATTACAAAGCCAGACAGGCGAGCAACTGCTGATCAGCTGACGGCAAAGTTCTCAAAAGAGAGCTCCATGGTGCAGAACACCATAGCCAGGTTGCAGTGCACAAACTGCTCATCATACCTACAGTAGCAGTGCACATTTGTGAGTCCAGTGGTGCGAAGAGCAGAAGCACTTGGCCACCAAGCAGTGGAAAGACGTGGTATGTTCAGATGAATCTTCCTTCACCACGTTCTCGACAAGCAGGCGATGGCAAGCGTGCCAACCTAAAGAACTCTGCTGGCCTCCGAGTGCCAACAGTGAAGAGTTCTGGTGGTCCCAAAATGTTGTGGAAAGCATTTTTCCTGGCATAGACAGGGTGCACTCATTTCCTTAGAAGGCCATGCCAGTTCAGCTTAATGGTATTGAGTTCTTCACCCTTTGTTACAGCATGTCTTTCATGCCCGGAGGTGTAATGGCCCCATCCACAGAGCACAGTGCACAAATCACTCATCACACCTGATAATGGCATCACATCTGATGCCAATCCGACTAGGGTATTTCTCTCTGTGGAGTTCTCTGATAGGATAGTGTTTCCATCCACAAGAGTAAGTGGTTCGTTAAACCACGGGGCAAAACACACTGATGTTATCCATATTTTATGGCCATTTCAGTCTCAAGGTCTGAATCCAATCAAGCATTTATGAGATATTCTGGAATGACATCTGAGACCACGTTGTGTATGTTTAGACAGACAGGGGTTGATTGACCTCATGGAAGAATGGTTCTGTATCCCTGTTGTAGAATTCCAGACGCTGGTAGATTGTATTAAGTTAATTTACATTGGTGTTTCCATTTTGTTTATCATAAGGATATAGTTCAGATGGCCCGTCAAGGAAGGTATATGTGGACGTACACGATTTTTTTAAAAGCCTTCAACGTGTTTTGTCAACATCTGGGCTTTATTTAATCAGTACTGGCGCACATATTTCATGTAGCAACGTGCAGAATTGTTCTCTGAAACACTTTTGTTTGAAATTATAGTAGTTGATAATGACAGAATTCCAGTTCATAATGAGTTACAGATGCCAAAGAAAAATCAAACCAGACCAGAAAGGAATGCAGACGTAAGAATATATCTTGAGTGCTAGTGATACATGCGGCGATTACTACACTGTAGTAAGGCCTAGCTTTTTGCTGAAAGGAGAACACGTTGTGCTTGAAAATGGCTTTTTCGTGGAATCAAGCTGATGCTGTGTTTCCAGCTCCTATCCTTTCCGAGTTCATTGCGTTCAAGCTGTTTACACTTATGATCATTACAGTTTTCCTTTACTTCTTATAAGAGGAACTGAAAGTCAAAGTGGGAGCTTTCCTCCATGTTGAGTTTTTTCAAGTATTAATACTAATTTTCCCCAATGAGTGGAGTTTATGGAATGAAATGCTCTTTTTACCATGTAATCGGACAATATCTGAAATGTTGAAAGTGTAGAATAATTGGGTGCAAATGAAAATGTAGAATAATTAAATGTAGAAAATGTATTCCTTTAAATAAAGTTAAAGGCAGGTACTGTAGGGAGTGATGTGATAGTAAAAGTGTCTATCCTTGTATCTAAAAGGAGAGGATCTTCTGTGGCTCAGGAGGCAAGCCTTTTGATATTATGGAGATGTTTTAGAGGACACATTTCTTATAAAACGTCATAGTGTGCTTTGCTAGTTTATTTTTGACTTTTGTTGTGCACCAGATTTCCACTTTGACAAACTTTTAACATTGCTGCCTTGCAAAGACACATTAGCTGAAGAGCTGTTGACCCCCGTATTCAGTACATTGCTGCTTG